TGCAGTGGGGTGGTAGGTTTACTCCCTGAAATAAAATGCAGTTAACAGAGGGAAGAGAATGGAGCAGGCAGTGGGGGGAGGAGGGGGATGGAAAGAGAGAGGAGTAAGGGTGAAAACAGACGAGTGTACCAACAAATGGAGAGAGAGAGACAAAAATTGAAACATATAAAAACAATAGACCACAGCTACAAACTAACCAATTCCCATACAAGAAAAACTAAAACATACAATGTTACTAACATACAAGCTTACCAACCTCCTTATTGGTGTGCTATTCCTCTATACAAAGATATTGTTTACAGAGAGAAGAAAAGAAAGGAAAAGAAGGAGGAAAAAAAGGGGAGGAACAAAACAGAAGGAATAGAATCAAATCAGTAGACTAAGAGAACCAATCGAGCACACTCTGAGACTTTTGGTTTAAGTCAGATGTCCTTTCAGCTCTAATTTCTAGCTGTCTTTTCAGGCTGATAAGTTTGTGCACAGTTAGGATCAGTTGCCCCTGGCCTGTTGTGAAGGGCAGCTGAGATCATCACTCAGTTCACAACTGCCGGGTTCACCACTCAGACATAGCCTGTGTCCGTCAGGCTTCCATTTTTCCCCTTTCGGTGTTGTTACCTTGAATGGCCAGTAGGTGGTGTTATCCCTCGCTTCAGATGGTCTTTATCTCAGCTGCTCGCCTGCCCCTAAGGGGAGGGAGATGTTGCCTCCAGGCACACAGGAGGAGACCCACAGCCTGGCAGGACATCTGGGTGGTAGTAGACCTCAGCAGATCTTGCACGCAGGGGCTTCAAGGTCTGAAGTCGTGGATCGCCTCAGGCACAGGCCTGCGATGTGGAATGGCTGCCTCTGCGGCGGCGGCAGCAGCAGCAGCGGCAGTGGTGGCTCACCTCAGCCACAGACGGCGATGTGTAATGGCTTCCTGGAGGCGGCGGCGGCGGCAGCGGCTACGGCTGGCCTCAGGCCTCAGGCACCGGCAGCGCGATGTGGAATGGTTGCTGGCCCGCCAGGTAGCGGCAGCAGCGGCAGCCACAGTCGCTGCCCAGACCGCAGTGATGCCTCAGCGAAGTCTGCGGCCGAGCTCCGTGTGCAGAGCAGACTGCCGACGGTGGGATCTGCATCCTCCGGGGAGAGATCCAGAGTCTCTTTGCGTTCTCCTGGGTGGAGAGGCTCACAGACCGAGCTGCCCCCTCACCATCTTGCCGGAAGTCAAAGGTTTTCATACAAGGAATTATAGCACGTTGTAGAACATTGGGAAGATTTGTGAGGGGAAAAAAGTCTCCTACAATTTTACCACCTTTTAGAACATTCTTAGCATTTTTATGTTTTTCTGCCAGTCTTTTTTCTGTACACCTATTTCTGCACACAATCATATTGCCAATTCATTTTTGCACTGTTTTCCAATTACTCCAGCTTCACACTTACCATGGTAATATATAGTGTTCATATCCATGTTTCTTACTGACATCTTCCTATTCTTCAGGGCTTAGTGCAAAGGTCACATCTTTTTTTTTTTTTTTTTTTTAACCACATCCCCATGTTGTCAGGTGTGGGTGCTCATGGGGTGTCAGTCACATCTTTAATTAGCAGTGTGTGCCTTAACATCTCAGACTAGTTCAGGTTCCCTTTTATTTGCTTTTACAGGCCCGTGTTCCTTTCCTATATGGGACCAAACATAAGGGTAACTATGTCACCATCTGTTTTGCCCACAATGCTGTAAACTCTGTGAGAACCAAGACTATGTCCATCTACTTTTGCTCATAATTTTGTAACCTGAACAAACCATGGAACATATTAGACCCTCATATTCGACAAATACAGTCATGCATTGCTTAATGACAGGGATATATTCTGAGAAATGCATCGTTAGATGATTTTGTCCTTGTGTGAACATCATAGACATACACAAACCTGGATGGAACAGACCACTACACACCTAGGTTATGTGACACAGCCTATGACTCCTAGCTACAAGGCTGTACAGCATGTGACTTACTGAAAACTACAGGCAGTTGTGTCACAGTGGTAAATATCTGTGTATCTAAACATAGAAAAGGTACAGTAACAATACAATGTAAAAGAAAAAAATGGTGCAGTTGTTTCTGGCTTTTAATTTTGCAAGCTAAGGACATAAAAACAGAAAAAGTTACTAGCTGCTATCAGCATCATTATGTAAAAGAAAATATATCATGGTCCCCAAATTAGGAAGAACATAATCTCAGAATAAGGGATTATCATTTAAATTGAATAAATATAGCTTTATAAAAAACAAAACATGCCATATGAGTGTTGGGCCCTTCTCATGAATGGAGCCTGCAGGACTGGAAGTTGCTCTGGGTGAGTCAGTGACTGAGTGGTGAGTTAATTTGAAGGCCTAGGCTATTACTGTACACCACTGTAGACTTTATAAACACTACACACTTGGCTTCACTAGATTTATAAAAAATATTTTTATTTCTTCAACCATAAATTAACATTTGCTTACTGCAACTTTTTTTATCTTATAAGCTTTTTAATTTTTTTTAACTTTTTGACTTTTTTTAAGATGTGGGGTGCAATTCAGAGGTATACAAGTGGTCATCGTACAGATAAAGTTTGCACCTCCCTATGGTCCCCACTCTGTGTAATATGAGATCAGGTACCCTTATTGATATGTCCCTGCCTCTCCCTCCCCTGGCAGTATCCCACTACTGCCAATCCCTTTCTTATTGTATTATGGTAAATGTCAGGGTCCACTTATGAGTGAGAACATGTGGTACTCTGTTCTTTGTTTCTGTGATAGATCATTGAGTATTATAGATTCTGAATTCATCCAAGTTGCTGTGAAGTCCATATGTTTGTCCTTCTTTGTGGCTGCAAACTATTCCATCATGTATATGTACCACATTTTTTTTATCCAGTCCAGTTTTGATAAGCAGCATGGTTGGTTCCATGTTTTTGCTATTATGAATAGTGCTGCAATAAATCTGCATGTGCAGGTATCTTTTTGTAGAATGATTTGAGTTCTTCTGGGTATATTCCCAATAGGAAGATTGCTGGGTCATATGGAAGGCAAATTTCTAGTTCTTTTAGAAATCTCCACAGTTTTCCATAGACGTTGAACTAGTTTGCATCTCTACCAGCAGTGTAGAAGCATTCCCTTTTCTCCGCATCCTTGCCAGCATCTGTTGTTTTTTGTTTTATTAACGATGCCCATTCTTACTGGGATTAGGTGGTGTCTCAATGTGGTTTTGATATGCATTGACCAAAACATCATTATACAGGGTATGATTGTGTTTATTGACCATTATGTGACAACAAATATAATTTTAAAAAAACAAAAAACAAATAATCTTCATTGTCAATGGTCATTTGGAAATCCTTCCAATATATAATATGATACCTTATTTAGCTAATCACTGTATTGAACATTTGGATTGTTTCCAATTTGTTACCATATTAATAATGCCTCAGGGCCAGACGCAGTGGCAAGCCTGTAATCCCAGCACTTTGGGAGGCCAAGGCTGGAGGATTGCCTGAGTCCAGAGATTCGAGACCAGCCTGTGCAACTTGATGAGACCTCATTTCTACAATAAATTTAAAAAGTCTGGCATGATGGTATGCATCTATAGTTCCAGCTACTTGGAAGGCTGAGGTAGAAGGATCGCCTGAGCACAGCAAGTCAAGGCTGCGGTGGCTGCTAGCATGCCACTGCACTCCAGCCTGGGTGACAGAATGAGACTCTAACTCAAAAAAAAAAATGTTGATACATATTTCCAGATTGCTTTTCAATTCATGTTGCCACAAGCAATGAAATAGCATGCCAGTTTCCTTTTTCTATCTGTTCTGGGTATTTAAAAATGTTTTTTTGTTTAGTTAATAATAGATGAAGAATAACTTATTGTTTTAGTTTGCATTTTTAGTTATAGGCTAGATATTTTTCTCATGTTTATTACTTGTATTTTTTTCACTGTTGACAATTTATTATAATGTTAGTAGCACACAGACAGATATTAATTAAAGCAGAACTATGTCTACATAGAAGTGGACAATTATATGTGCCATTCTAGAAGGAACTGTGTGCACTTAATCATCATGTTTTAGTGTTTTGATCTTCTGCTTATGCTGCTCAATTTCTTTCTGCAGATGCTCGATCTCCTTCTTATGATGACCGATCTCATCTTCATGGTGTTTTTTCAAAGCTGCCAGTTGTTCTCTAGTTTACACTTAGAAATATCGTTCCTCTTCAGCCTGTTCTGGATCGAGTCTGAGCTCCTGTCGATATTTTTGGACTGATCTGAGCTGAAGCCTCGGGTTTGCCTGGCCCTCATGCCCCACATGCCAAGCCAAGTCTGTGCCACCAGCGCCGAAACTGCCATGGCTACTAGAGGCGCACCCTCACGGTTCCTACAGCTTCTCTCTATTACTTGCATTTTATCACATGTATATTACAGTACTCTTTCTAAGACTATCATGGTGCGTCTAAGCTGAGAGGATAAGCAAAATTAATGTGGTAGATAATGCATGAATATATGAGAGGGATTCAATAAAAATAATGGAGTTATTTTTTGGAGGGCAGGCTCCTTGTAGCACAGACTTCCTCCTCTGGTAAGTGTTTTAGGAACCCATTGGCATCAGTGTTCCAGCTATTGTTGTGAGAGGCTGTGTTTGACTTCGGTACATGTATGTATGTATGCATTTATTTATTTATTTTTGTGGAAATTCTTTCAACTCATTTGCCCTTTTCATGATGGGCAGTTTATAAGCACACCTACCCACACTGTGCTGAGTGTTCAGCAGTTTTTGACCAAAAGCGGCATGAACCTCTCCCATACCTCACCTCCCTATTCACATGATCTCACCCCTGGTGACTTTTTTTGTTTCCCTGGATGGAAAAATCCTCAAAGGGAAACATTTTGCAGATATGGAAGAGGTGAAACAAAAAATGGCAGAAGCATTAAGAGGTATCAAAATTGAGGAGTTCAAAAATTATTGTGAGCAGTGGGAAAAGTATCTCAATAGGTGTATGGCATCAGATAGAGCGCACTTTGAAGGTGACTGAAGCCTAAATATGTAAGAATAAGCCAATTTTTTAATAAATAAATTCAGAGTTTTTTTGGTCCCCCTCATACTATGTAAAAATTCATTTGTAAACATTTCTCTTAACTATAATCAATCAATGACTCTGCATTTCCCACTGCGATTATATCAATTGATATTAGATTCAGTTGCAAGTTGTAGAAAATCCAAAGTAAAAGAGCCATAAGAGAAGTTGGTTTCTTCTCCAGGAAGTGGTCCAGGACTGTTTTAACACTTCCCAGTGCAAAGGACCCTGACTTCTCCCATATAATTTTACTCTGTGTGGCCTCTTTATTATGAACCAAGATAGGAGCATCTTTGTTCAGACAGCAGGATAGATGGAGGGATAAAGAAAAGAGGCAAATAATATGTGCAGCTTGTTTCTTAAGAATGTTTTCTAGAAGTTGCCATGAGATATTTTCACTGACAACCCATTGGCCAGAATTTAGTTATATGGACACAGATGCTGCAAGGAAAACTGGGAATGAACCTCATTCTGAGTAATATAGTGCCTCAATAAAAATTCTATTGCTCACAATAAAGACAGATTTTGAGGAACTACTATTAATTTCTGCCACAATAAAGCAATACAGTTCAAATAATTTACAAATTACAGATCTTCATCGTTAAGTGTATTACAAATCTCATCAACTTCTAACCAGAGCTTCTAGCAGATGCTATAGTGACCTGTTAACAACACCAACACCACCACCAACAACAAAAACCAGGTTAGACTCTTTTGCAGATGTATTATTCTTGTCTAAATAACCTGCCACAGCTAGACCATGCTTATTCCTCTGAACATGTGCACACATTAGCTACAGAGTCAGGCTACAGATGATGGGCCAAATCCTACATCCCACAGATCTGGTCACTGTCTATTTTAACTTTTTAATTCACATTTATTAAGCATCTACTATGTAGCAGACTAAGAGATAATTAGCAGGAAGGAAAAATAAAGGATGTGACTAAATTGGCAAATAGAATAATGAGCTTTTAATTAAATATGGCATTGCTTATAGCAACAGAGATTTGAAAACCACCCAAATGGGTGGTTAAAGCATAAAATACAGTTAAAGCATAAGATAGCCCAAACGGTTTTCAAAATAGTAAAAATAAATAAATAAACATTTTGTTATAAAACAAAACAAGCAAAAATATTATAGATAAGGGCATTCACAGTTATTATGTATTCTTATCTCATGCGTATTGTGACAGCACAGAGGGTCTTACATTTTTCTTTACAATATTCAGCAAACATTAGGCATTCAGTAAAGACTACTAAATAATAAATTCAAGTGAACTCCTTCAAAAACAGCTGTTGCACCATCACCACTCTCACATGCTGCCTTCCTAAGGTGAATCTGTCAGTGTGACAAACTCCTCTAGATTTTTAAGTTTAGCATAAAAAAGAAGTGACACTTTTATTGCCGTAGATATGTATTAGTATATGCTTTTTTAATTAAGTTTGTTCTTATTTGGATTTACCCTGTAATCCTATTACTTCTCATAATGTAATGTAAAATTTTAGATGTCTTATGTAGTACCCATCCTGTCTCTTCACAGAAAATATATTGCTTGGTTACAGGAAAAAAATATCTCAGTAGTAATGATTGTAGAAAATCGGACAATATTTTGAATATTATTCTATGTATTACTATACAAAATTAGTGAAAAGGGATAAATAAAAGGTCTTTTTTTCTGAAAGGCAAATGGAAGTAATTGAAACGACCCTATGGGATTATTAGTTTTGGTGAACTGTGATGTCCCTAAAAGCCCCCAGGTGGCATTATAGCCTTGTTTTTCCTAAGTCATTTGTTTTCATGTGGCACAGATCAGAATCGACCTTAACAAGAAATTCCCCTTATTCCATGGTAAATGTGAATATGAAACATTCATTTTCTTAATTTGTTTATTTCTTCATTTTGAGTGAGTTCTCTTAAGTACCTATGAATTTGAAATGTGTTTTGATTAAAATAAGGTAAAGCACTTTCCAAATTAAATAGCTCATTAACCAAAATTACCCAGAAATTTCAAGGATACTATTGTCTTTAAAAATCCAATAATATATTTTTAGATGAATACATATGCTAGTATAAATTTAATTCCAGATGAATAATCTCATTGAGAAGTAGAGATTTATTTGCAATATTATTAATTTTCTCTGTGACTGCTGAAAAATTGCTAATTTTCGAAGACTCAGTTTCTCTGACTCTCAAAGGAAGAACACTTCATCTATTAAACTGAAAAAAGTACTGTTGAGATCTTTAGCTAAATACTCGGAGTAGGTATGAAAAGCATACTTTTCCGCTCATATCAAATAATAGAATTTATGTATTCAATAATACAATTTTAGGTACTTAAGTGATATAACTTAATAGTGAATTACTGTAATGACTACTAAAAGGAAAATCATTGCTTATTATAGTATGCTGCCTGGTTATTTATATTCAGTAAAATAAACTTGTTTAAATTGCTGTCCTATGTACTTGCAAATATATTGAATTTTTTATACCTAAACCTACTGTAAGTTATAGAAAGTATATAATACCAAACTTACCAAACTGTGCTCGTAGTCAGTTAAACTATATGATTTTCTAAGGACATTCATTTTTGTATTCACTTTATTTACTAAATAATCAACATGGTAATTAAATTGAAAGTTCAGGTTGCAATTTAACTCCAAGAATTTAGTCTTAGTCTTTATTCTTTCCAAATTTAATCTACCCACTGTTCTATCAAATTATCTCTAACATAATGTACTAAGAGATTTGAACAGAATTATATTTATTGAGAAGTAATTATTTAAGATTCAACTTTAAAATAGCTTCTTGTGAAGACTTGTACCAGGTTTTAATTTTTTATTCTAAAACAATATTGATAGAAACAACCTGGTTTGCATTTAAATTGGGTAATTAAAAAGATTGTTAAATCTTATATTTTTCATCTTTAGTAAATGAGTTTATGTTTTTGTTAAATGTGAAGTC